GCAGAGCCTTTTGGCGGGAGACTGCTGCTCTTCCTCCAGGGCGATGCTTCGCTTCTCGGTGGGCGTCTCGCCCGTTCGGATCATGCGGTTAATCTCTCGCAGCCTCTGTGGGATAAAGTGAAAAATAGTTAAAGAACTACGTTGCGTGAATCTGAACAGGAATTGTTTTTTACGATAATGTATTGTTCTTTTACGTTGGATGGGCTGGAGCTGACATAGTAGAAGATCTTGTCTCGAGGAGAAATTGGGCTGCTAGTCTTGTGTGGAGAGATGTAGATGGAGTGATTGTGGGACAGGAGCACCCGGCGTGGAGAGCCAATGCGGAGTGACGGATACGGACAGAGGGGAGGAGCTTCAGCCTGCAAACACACACACAGCTGCAGATATAAATCTGAATCAACACTGAACTGACTGGAGCGGAATAATGACACCTGTCTTTTGAGAGCTGCTTTAAAGCAGAATTTGACTTTGTCTTTGAATTCGAAGAAGTTTGCATCATTGATTTAGAAATTTGCATTTTATGAAGTGCTATAGAAATAAAGGTGACCTGACTTGAGACCACAGTAATACAGAAAACAGGCAATAGTTACCCCGTTTTTTGGCGAGTTGCTGGAGTAACGCAGAGCGAACCGTTTGATCTGTTTGATGTAGACGTGGTTGTAGAAACGGATGAGGTCTGCCCTCTCCTCCTCCTGCTCTTGGGGGCCCCCAGGGGCCCGGGTTGTGGTGGATGGGGCACTGCTGGGCTGGGGAATGGGCAGAGTGCTGCTGGAGCGCATGGACACAGGACTGCTCTCACCGCTGGCTGCAGAACAAGAAAAACAGGAAGTCATCGTAATGAATTCACAACCTGCAAACGATTGCTGCATTCCTGGGTCCGTTTGGACCTGGTGGTATGTCAGCCTGTAAAAGAGTCATAACAAAAATATTTTTCAACTAAAAACATGCTGTATCTTCTCATTAATGAGTAAATGTGCAAAAAAAAAAAATCAATGTTTTGAATGTTACCGTGTTATTACGCTGTTATTACTACATTCACACATTTTTAGTTCTTAAAATAATTGAGTTCATTTTACATGAACTACAACTACAGAAATACCACTGGGATGAAAGAAACCCAATGTATTAAATATGAAAATATGAAATTTGTAAGACTATTCAATCTGAGAATTACCAGTATTAACATTGAAATCAATTAATTCATTTAATGTAATTACTTTGACTTATGTCCCATGATTGATCGAAAACAGTCCAAATTTATGAAACCAAAATATATATTTTCTAACAAAACAACATCAATATTACTCTGGGATGGTTTCAAAAACAAAATGTAATGTAATAAGGTGTAACTAGGGGTGTGCGATATATATCGTCTGCGATAATATCGTAATTGTTGTTTTAACGATGTGCGATTTGACATTTTCGAGTATTTAGCAAAAACCAAACCAAACACCTATGGAGTGCACGCATACATTACGTGATGAAGTCTAGTTGGTCAAACAGTGCACGTGTGCATTTAGAGAGTGTTCTTTCACTGCATGATTCAGTCTATTAAAATGCATTAAGAAAGATCACATAATTCAAGATATGGGGGCAGAAAATTTACATAGTTATATCATTTCATGTAGTTAAAATCACACGAAGAGTGCTGTTTTTTTTTTCTTCAAAAATAAGCATGATTACAAATGTGATACTGATTTTATACAATGGTTCAATAAACAATAAGTTAATATTAAGAGACTTACGTTTTAGACACTATATTGCCTGCTTTTTGCTCTATTTTGCCAACCTAAAATAATTCCAAACGGCCACCACAGAACAGTTTTGCGTCTCTGAGCAATGACAGCTTTTCGTTCCTGAATGAATCAACTGTTTAAAAGATTCGGTTCAATCGCAATGTCTCACTTGTTTACAGTGACTTGCTGCCACCTACTGGCGGTTTTAATTTCACATTTAAAGTATCTTTTCATTCAAACATCAGTATTCAATGTTTTAGGTTTAAAATATCAAAACATTATGCATTTGTAACTGCAGGTTAAAG